TAAGGTGGGGAGGTGGAGGAGAGTGCCGCCATGGATGCGAAAGGAGGTGGTTAGAGGGATTAGACGAAAGAGGAACCTCTGTAGGAAATGGATACTGGGGCAAATAGACAAAAGGGTATACCGGGAGGAGGAGGCCCATTGCAGAAGGATTCTTTGCAAGGCTAAGGCTGATTATGAGCTGAGACTTGCCAAGAATAGCAAGAGCAACAAAAAGGGCTTTTTTCAGCATGTAAATAGGAAGAGGAAGGGGAGACAAGTGGTGGGACCACTGAATAAGGAGGAAGGAGATCCAGTGGCTGATATGAAGGAACAGGCACAGATCCTGAATGACTATTTTGCCTCTGTGTTCTCCCCAAAGCAGGACGGGGGATATCCGCACAGGAGATTAGATGAGGCTGGGGACTTAGCGGCACAGATTAGAATCACCCCCCCCCCCTCGTAATTGAGGGGCTCCTGAGGGCATTGGACATTACAAAGGCACCAGGGCCTGACAGATTACACCCGAGAGTACTTAGAGAGTTGGCAGGGGTTCTCTCACGCCCACTGGCCTCCATTTTTGAGGCCTCGTGGAGAACAGGTGAAGTTCCAGAGGACTGGAGGGTGGTGTCAGTGGTCCCAATTTTCAAAAAGTGTAGTAGAAGGGACATAGGGAATTACAGACCAGTTAGCGTTACGTCCATTGTAGGAAAAACAATGGAAAGGCTCATAATAGAGAGAGTTCTAGTGATGCTAGATAGGGAAGGGAGGCTGGCAGCCGTGCAACACGGCTTCCGCAAAAACAGGTCCTGCCAGACACACCTTGTGAAATTCTACATGGTTTTGAGATAGCTAGATGGCGGGGATGCAGTGGATGTGGTTTACCTGGATTTCAGCAAGACCTTTGACAAAGTGCCCCATAATATCCTGGTGGAAAAACTGGTGGAGGAGTTTTGGGATACACCAAAGCCCTGTCCGGTGGATTAGGGCACGGTTGACTGACTGAAAGCAGAGGGTAACCATTAGTGGGGAATCATCGGGATGGTGGCTGTGACAAGCGGGGTCCCCCAGGGCTCTGTCCTGGGGCCGATCCTGTTTAATCTTTTCATAAATGACATGGACAAAGGGGTGAGCAGTCTGCTGATCAAATTCGCAGACGACACTAAAACTGGAGCAGTGGCCACAACTGAGGAGCAGGTATTCCAGATACAAAAGGATCTGGACAGACTATGGAAGTGGGCAGGAGACAACAGGATGGCGTTCAATGTGGATAAGTGCAAGGTCTTGCACTTGGGGCATAGGAATAGGTGTCATAAGTACAGGTTAGGGGACAAGTGGCTGGAGAGCAGCACTTGTGAAAGGGACATCAGGGTGCTGGTTGACTGCAGGCTAAACATGAGTCAGCAGTGTGATGCAGTGGTCAAGAGGGTGAACACCACCCTTGGTTGCATATCCAGTAGTGTGGCTTCTAGATCGAGAGCAGTATTACTACCACTCTACATGACTCTGGTGCGCCCGCAATTGGAGTATTGTGTTCAGTTTTGGGCCCCTCATTACAGAAAGGATATAGCCAGGTTGGAGTCAGTGCAGCGTGGGGCCACAAGGTTGGTGGCCGGTTTGCAGGGGATGCCGTATGAGGCGAGACTGTGAGGGAACTGGGTCTCTTCAGCCTGGAGAAGAGGAGACTCAGAGGGGATATGATGGCAACATACGGGTATGTGAGGGGATGTCACACGGAGATGGGTAGAGACCTGTTCTCCCCTGCAGAGGAAGGCAGGGCGCGCTCCAACAGAGCAAAACTCAGGGAGCCAAGGTTCCATTTGGATGCCAGGAAGCATTTCCTGACAGTTAGGACCCCGAGGGTGTGGAATGGGCTTCCACGAGAGGTCGTTGAGGCCCCATCGGTGTGGATATTCAAAGATAGGCTGGACATGCACATGGTGGGCATGTCGTGAGCAGAGCCGGCTGGTGCCGGAGGTCAGACTAGATGGCCCGGGAGGCCCCTTCTGACTCGTTCTGTTTCTATGAGTTCCCTATACACTGCCACCTAACGGCCATGTGGAGAGATTCAGACTGAAATGCAGGCTGCAGTAGTTGGTTGGTCTTCTAACAGGGCACAGGCTGGTTTTCACGGCAACTTTGCATGAAGGCTGCCTGCTTGTTGCTGGCTTCTTCCCTCCATCCCTTAGTACCTTCTCCGTTAGGTAGGGCCTAGCTTCGTCCCACAGGTTGCGACTGCAGCTGCCAGCGGATGGTAAGGCTTTTCTCCAGCACTTAGCCAATGCACTACCCTTGTTCTAAAATGTGGTGGGGTATCCTCAGACCGAGAAATTCAAGGACGCTTTTGTGTGGGCCACTAGGACAGAGAAGGACAGTGACACAACCTGTATTGGCCCTTCCTTCAACAAGATGCACTCTATATCCCTTGGAGCACTGACATCTCCTTGCTTCGTATCCCCCTTTAAGGGTGAGCTCATACATTGATGCTGTACAAATGCCTTTCCTTCTCTGCCCACCCATAGCAAGAGTCAGATTCTATTGATTTCCTACACCTGTTCAACTCATAATGTAGGACCTTCTCCATTTCTTTTTTGTTTTCTACTGGGCAAAGTAGAAAACAAATTTCCTTCTGAGAAGTTCATTTAGACACACATTCCACTCTTGAGTTTGGGTCAGGGCCTGAGAACTCACAAATATACACATACCTTTATTCAGGCGCAGTTACACGTGGGATATGAATCCATGCACTTTAAGTGGCCCAATGCTTAGATGTCCTGCAAAGATTATGTCACTTGATTTCTGGCATCTTCAAAGTATTTTGTGGTGTTACATTCATTTTCTAACTATATAAAATGCCAACGTGGCTTAAAACACATACAGCACATTTTTATTAGATTTCTTCCCTCACTCTCTTTCTGTGTGTAGTCATTAAAGGTTTCAAACAGTGCTTTACTTAAATGGAGAACAAAAGGTGGGGAAAGGGGAAAGATTAAAAAGAGCAATTTTATAGATGTGCATCCACGTTAATATTGTTTGAGTTCTACATTTAAGAAAGGGGCTGTATAATCAGGGTGGGCAGAAGTTAGATCTCTAGATGTTCTGGGCTTCAGCTCCCAAAAGCCCCTGCCAGTATGACCAATGGTCACAAAAGCTGGGAGCTGAGTAACGGGAGATTTA